TTTTTTATTCTTGTTTATGTCTAGATGTAAAAAAGTTTTAAATTTGTAAAAGGTAAAAGTAAAATATTTATTTACATACATAAATTATTTACATACTCGTGTAAAAAACCGTGGCGTAGTAGTTAGAGTTCTGCCTCAGAAACAAGAGGTCCGAAGTTCAACATCAACTCTTGCTCAATAGACGATATTGGTAAGGAAGGAGACATAAACTTTCTATCTAGATAATCTCCCGTAAAGACTTCTGGAAGTACCTTAATAGCCAAAATAAAAAAAGAAATTAAAAAAAAAAAGAAATAAATGTAAACGGTTTTTGACGACAGGACCACTGTCTATCACTAGACCTTGAGCCTCCGCCTACTTAAATTTGATTTATTTATCACAAATATTTTTTTTCACCTGAATATATTATATTTATAGTCACTCGACTCGTTTTCTCATGCACTGTATCATGGGAAATAAATACAAAAAACTCCATCTTTATCTTAACCATTATTTCGAGAAAGTATTTTAGTCAGTCAGAAAAAAGTCAGAAAAAAAATTATTAGCTCAAAAGATAATTCAATTTATTATTATTTTTTTTTTCACACTTCACAAATAAAATAAATTGCTATAATAACTTTTGTTTTTTTATTTGCAAATTTATTGCAAGGACTTTAGTTTATTTTACTGACCCACAAAATTTGATGAATTCTTTTAAGAAAACAGACCGACAAAAATTGATAAATTCTTTTAAGAAAACTGTCCCACAAAATTTGATAAATTCTTTTAGTTTATTAAACTGACCCAAAAATTTGATGAGTTCTTTTACGAAAACTGATTCATATGTATTTGGTTAATTTTGGGATGAGAAATTCGAATTTCTCATTTTATTTTAACGTTTAACGTGTAAATGTTTTTTATGATATATTTATATATCATATAAATAGTCTTTTGGTGATGACACTTCTATTTGAATTGAATATGTATGCGTTATTTAAAGTGAAATATTGCTACTCCATATGCAAAATACTCTTGCCTGTAAAATCTGAAAAATGTTTCGTTACACTAGATCTTCTGTGAGAGGACTTTGAATTGCGCACCTAAATCCAACAGTATTCACCAAGTAATGAAGGTGAAGGTCTTTATTTATAAAAACCTCCCATCTCACTAATTTCTTGATGAAATTGTTTACCAAGCTTATCAGATGCATCACTCTCAGGAAAAAAGTGTAGATAAGAGTTTATAAAGTGAAGTTTGAGTGATATATTACAGCCTAGGCTTTCATAGCCCTCCATCATATTCTTTATTAGAGATTCAAATTTTGTAGATTCATGTCGTCCTAGAAAACGATTGAAAACACATCGAAAAGACAGCCATGCTACTTTTTGAACTGATGTCAGAGTATCATCAAAGTGCTGATTGAGTAAAAACCTTACTGTGGTCTAACAAAAACACCTGTTACTTTTATAGAACTCAATTTGGGGAACTTTGTCTTCAAAAATGTTATTGCATAATAATTTTTTTCAAGGACTTTTACAAACTATTTGATGAGGCCTATTTTAATATGTAAAAGTGGCAATATAATTTTGTTCGGTGAAACAAGTGGAGGATTACCAACTTTTTTCAGTCCAAAAGTAAAATTATCTCGCTGAAGCCATACTTTCTCTATGTAATGCTTATGTCTTGTTCATAAATCCGATAAGTAGATGATACAAAAGAACTTAGTGTATTCTGCTTGTAGTCCAGTTAGAGGTTGTAACGACTTTCAGATCAGCATATAATCCACTGATGCTTATTATACTGTATGAAATAAAAATATCTTAGAGATTTTTTTATGTTTCTTGTATGATCATTTAGTATGCAACAGGCATGGATGGTAGCTGTTTGCTAATATGTAACAACACAGCTTTGACATTCGTTCTTGAGGCATCAGTAAAAAGAAGCCATTCAGTAGAATTGTGTTCCAGTTCAAAGAACTAAAATAAACAGTCAATGTCACAGCAAAGTTCATTTACCATTTAAAACAATGAAATGACATTTTGTAAACATATAAGATAAAGTGGTATTCTAGCACCTTTTTGTAACAAATTTTTCTCTTATAATTTTGATTCAGATCTCGGATCAAATCACTTAATTCAAGTTGTGAAAACAATTAAGGCCATTATTTAAACCCGATGCTGATGGAAGAAAGTCATTATCTTTATGTACAACGAATAGGTTTCTTTGGCGTTTGTGTGTGTTTCTTCATGCAAGTAATCAAGTTTCTTGGGTTTTTGAAATTGAATCTGAGTGTGATATACAAGAGGCGGATTGAACATTTGGATATGATATATTTCCAGTTCTAACTGAAGTAAGAAAAAAATTATTGCAGCAATTGTAACAATCAGTTATTTTGTGAGTCGCGCCAGATCATAGGAATACCAAAGGACATCGGGTAGTCAGTATTTAACCAATTACTTAGTCGCGAAGAACAGTTGAGTGAATAATATTGTGATGTCCAAGTAGCCATGCCTGCTTTTGA